GGGGGGGGACGGGTAGATTCAGCCTGGGTGTCTTCTTGCCTGGCTGTGGTTGCAGTCTGGTGCTTGGCTGGGGTTCTGGGCTATGGGAGGCTGGGGGGGCTCTTGCTCGGGTGTCTCTGCACTGCTGGCCTGGGGTCTGGGCGTGTTAGGCGTGTGCCCTCCCTTGCATGGGGTACTCTCGTTGTGGGTGTTGCTGTAGTGGACTGGTTGGTCCTTTTGTGGGGGTGGGGGTACGCTCTTGGTCGTCGTGGCTATCTGCGGTTATTCGGGCACTCCTGGCTGATTGTCGCTGCTGGAGTTTGGTGGCTTCTTTGGTCAGTGGGCTGGGTGTTGAGCTGGGGATAGGGTTGGGGGTCTGGATGATCTCAGGGGGGTTGGGTCGCTGGCCCGGGTTCTGGTCGGTCCTCGGGGCTATGTGCTCGTCCGTGGCCTGGGTCCCTGGTGGTGCGGCTGCCTCCTGCTCCTGGATGGATGTACTGGAGCCTCCCTCCCCTGGTGGATCTCGGAGCATGGGGGTACCTATTGGGGTCAGTGGGGGAGCTGGCCCCCTGGGAGGGCATTGCCACCTCAGTTGTTCCTCCCCATCCCGACGTCTTCCTCCACCCACTCCATCACACCACCACTCAAGCAGGGCCTTGGGGTTCAGGTGTACTACTGAGCTGCGGGGAGGATCCTCCATCTCCGTGGTTCGTGGAGACCTAGGCCCCAATTTTATTAAACAACCTAGACACTCACATATAACATTCTCACGACATATGCATATATAGGGTCTGAAGTGGACACACAGTGGCATATAGGGGGTGGGATGTGTAATCATTCTCACCCACGGGACCTGTGCCCACTCCCATATGTAGCATGTAGACATTTAGGGTTCTGGGCAAGGGTTGGGGAGGTGAATGGGCATTGCCTGCTCTCTGGGGAGGGGGTGGGTCTGTGCCACTTGTTGCCTCATCCCCCCCCAATTTTAAACGCACTATTTAACAACATGCATCTACACCTTACTTGAGTGGGAAGAGGGAGGAGTTGGGTCTTCCTGTTTTCCTTAAACCCTCGTTCTCCATTTGACATTTGGGGTCAGGGTCGGGGGGGGCTGCCTGGTTGGGGTTTAGGCTGTGGGTGGGTGTTGGGCCTTGGGGGGCAATTGGGGGTGGGGCCAGTGCTCCAGTTCTCCCTGGGTTGTTTGGATCTTTTGATCAGGGTTCCTGGTTGCAATGTCCGGCACTTTGGCTGGGGTGGCTGATGGTTTCTGGCGGGAGGTCGGCAGGGCCTGTGGACTCGTTGCTGCAGCCTCCTGGGGTTTCTGCATTGTGGTTGCTGGGGATCGCCCGGGGCTTCCCTTTGCTTCTCTCTCTGGGGGGTGCGGGTGTCCCTGTTGGGGGATTCCTGGAGTTCCGGGCTTGAGGGCCACGATGTGTCTGTGGTTCCAGTCTTCCCTGTGTTACCATTGTGTCCTGTGGGGACGGGTCTGTGGGTCCCCACATCCACTCTTGAACATTTTTATGGATAAACCTTATAGTAACAAGCATGCTCACACTAGGAATGTGTGATATGGCATAAAATTCATATCTCGATATGTATTGTGAAGGGTGGCGATAATGATATATATTGCGATATGTTTTTTGGTATAAAACTTGCAATAAGAATTTTAAAAAAGCATAGGGTGTCCTTTTGCTATCATATATTTTGAAAGAAAATTCCACTACTAGGTCCAGAAAGTTTTTAAATCATAAACAAAGTATTAGGCTTCTATCTTGAAGTGCAAAACAGTGCAAAAAATATCAAATGTAGTTTTAGCCATATGTTTTAAACAAAATAATATGTTGTTAACTTTTTAACAGTTTCCAGTCTTCTCACTTAAGAAATGAACAGCAACAGAGCAGCATTTTACACTGAAACACTTCACGCTCCAACCCTCTAGTTGGCGACTCCTTCCACTTTAAGGAGAGTTGACACAAAATGACTGTGGCTTTGACCAGAGGGTCTCGCAGTAAAATCACACAACACGGCATTCTTTTCACAGATCAGAGAGCAGGTTTCTCTAAAGATGACCAACGCTTACTTTAACTTTCGACAGAGAGAAAAAAAAAACCCAAAAACTTTTGACGGAACTCAACGTTTTGTGCATGCGTCTTAATACAGCAACACTACGGCAAGCCGGCTGTAGTTAGCTTGTAGTTTCGCTACATAGCTCTCGAAGAAATGACTTTAACACCACTTGCGGACAGTTTTCAACTAAAAAATTAACGATTAAATCTGACAACTCTGATTTTACATCAGACACAGCATTACTGTGGTTAGCCGGTAGAAGTCAGATCCCTATTGTAGGCTAAATTTCTATTGTTTCTATCGTCCATCCATCCATCCATCCATTTTCTTCCGCTTATCCGGGGTCGGGTCGCGGGGGTAGCAGCCTAAGTAGGGAGGCCCAGACTTCCCTCTCCCCAGCCACTTGGGCCAGCTCTTCTGGGGGAATCCCGAGGCGTTCCCAGGCCAGCCGAGAAACATAGTCCCTCCAGCGTGTCCTGGGTCTTCCTCTGGGCCTCCTTCCGGTGGCACGTGTCCGGAACACCTCACCAGGGAGGCGTCCAGAAGGCATCCTAAACAGATGCCCAAGCCACCTCAACTGGCTCCTCTCTACGTGGAGAAGCAGCGGCTCTACTCCGAGTCCCTCCCGGATGATCGAGCTTCTCACCCTGTCTCTAAGGGAGAGCCCAGACACCCTGCGGAGAAAAATCATTTCGACCACTTGTATCCGAGATCTCATTCTTTTCAGTCACAAC